AAAATAAAATACCTCACTACAAAAGAATACTTTTTAAAGTATGAAAATGTATTTAGCCAGAGCCAGTGACAGGAGCCCGTATATCCAGCTACTTGGGAGGCTGAGTCAGGAGAATGACTTGAGCCTAGCAGTTTGATGCCAGTCTGGGCAATATAGCAAGACTGTCTCAAAATAAAAATAAATAAATAAAACAGTTCTCTCCTCCAGTGCATTATTAGATTCAGTAGGAAAGTATGATTAATGTCACCACTACGTAAAAATATGTTCTCCGCATTATATTATGTTGCTAGTTACTGTTTAACATGCTATTTTAGGATGATTTATCAATTTTAAATGGTGAGAGTTGATTTTTTACATTTTTTAAAATAATGCGTTGTTTTCACCTTATGTTATTGAAGGAGTTTCAGTGCAATGCCACTGAACTAAATCCTTGGCCCTCCCCCTTTCATTTTGTAAAAGGTATTTCCTTTTTTCTAAGACCATTCCCTTTGTATATATCCCACAGTAAGTGATTAATATTGTTCAGAATGACACAGTTTTATAGACAGTGGTAGACATTAAAGGAAGGAAAACACACACTATCAGGTGTGGTGGATATGTCCAAGATTTGAAAGATTTGCAAAGATAACGTGACTGGCTTTCCTTGTGGTACAAAAGATGGACAATCTTTTCTTTCAACCTCGTTTTATTTCAAGTTCATCGTACATGTTTTAATAGCTTTATGACACTAAGTTCAGTGGAGCACAACAACCTATCCTGTGACCCTCACCTTCTGTGCTGTGGCTTCCTTTGCCTGCCTCTTTATGGTTATGAATGAAAGAACAGACCTGCTTGGTTTCCTCTGCTAGTTGTGGCCAATCCACTGAATAATGGGCTGGTTGTAAGTAACAGTGTGCCAAAAGAGGCTTCATTTTAGGGTGACCAGGTAGGAATTAGTCTAAAAGGCAAGCTGGAGTCTCCACCCCCCCCGCCACCACACAGTGAAAAAAACAAAAACGAAACCCTGAAACAGAAAAGGCCAAATCATGAAGGATCCTACTTTAGCCTACTAACCTCATGTTGAAGCTTGGCTTTTTTCAACAGATCAGTTGCTTTTTTTTTGAGTACTGTTTCAGCCTTCTGTTCAGGGCAAATGCTACTGCCATGTAGGGTTACGATAGACCAATTCAAGCAGCCCAACTGCTAACTCTTTAATCAGTTTTCATGGTTTTTCTTCCTCTTTTCATCAGCCAATCACAGGTGAAAAGCCTGTGATTACAGCCTTCTCTTATTTCAAAATTCTTTTCAGATATAGCTTCTTCTGTTACGCTTTACTCTTGGATATGACACACTGTGCCTTTCCAATCTAATTCCTGCTCTTTTGTTAAAACCCTTCATCCTCTGGTGTGCCCTCCCTCCTGCTTTCATGCTTTTACCAACTTGTTCCACTTTCCAAAAACTTCTTTATTGTTAATTCAATGGGATTTTATTTGAAGCAGGGAGGGAAATATTTAATTCATCACCATCTTGAACTAAAATTGTTTCATTCCTATTTTTTCTTTTTGTATTGAGATTGAATCCAGGGGCACTCTATACTGAGTTACATCCTCAGCCCTTTCAGCTCTTTTGATTTTGAGACAGGGGCTCACTAGGTTTCCCAGGTTGGCCTCAAACTTGTGAACCTCTTCCCTCAGCCTCCTGAGCAGCCACTGTGTGCCACTGTGCCCAGCCTGTAATCCCTTTTTACTAACGTAAAGTTCAGTTCTAAAACTAAACAGGAAAAATACTAACCAGAACAGGAAATATCCAGTCATGTCTAAATCACAGCACCTGAAAAGTGATTATTTTAGAAAGATTTCCCCACATTTAAGTAAGTTTGTTTGTTTGGTACCAGGGCTCGAACTCAGGACCTTGGGCTTATGAGGCAGACAGCTGCACTACTGAGCTAAATCTCCAGCCCATTTAAGTTGTTTTAAAGAAAGCATACCCTACTCTATGAGAGATGTTCACCTCAAGCCAGATATTCTTTAAAAATATATTATTCACACAATTTAAATAACAGCACTGTCCTACAAACACGTGTCAGCTCTGAATATTTTTGTTGATTTAAAGTTCTCTATTTGATTTTGACAGTCTAGCTCCAGACTTTCATCAACATAGGTAATTAGAATGGCAATTTAATGTACATGTAGTCAGACCTACTCTCAAAATGCAGATGATGAAACAGGCCATTCAAAACCAACTAACAAGACCACTTAACCTAACCTATGGTGGGGACTGATGAGAATCAAACCCTTATAATTTCTACAGCAGTGTTCTACTCACACAGGTCTCTATACAATTACATAGGTCTCTATACAGTTTTCTTTTTCTTTCTTTCTTTCTTTTGGTTTTTTGAGACATAGTCTCACTTTGTAGCTTACGGTGCCATTGAACTCACTATGTAGGCCACTCTGGCCCTACACTTAGTGAATTGCCTGAATCAGCCTCCCAAGTGCTGGGAGTACAGGTGTGTGTTATCACATCTGGCTTGACATAATTTTCATAAGGTAGTTTATCTTTTCTTGACACCCACTGACTATTTTTTAGTGCCTTTCCTGCTAAACATAAACTCCATAGGAGCCTAAGCCCCATCTCCCTCATTCTTTCATTCAATTGCTCCCGAAGTGTCTCATCCAAAATGAGATACCTGATAACTATTTATAAATTAAACGAATGAACATAATTTTCAAGGTAGTTTATCTTTTCTTGACACCCACTGACTATTTTTTAGTGCCTTTCCTGCTAAACATAAACTCCGTAGGAGCCTAAGCCCCATCTCCCTCATTCTTTCATTCAGTTGCTCCCGAAGTGTCTCATCTCC